ATATATATATATATATATAAGATTTGATTCTTGTAAATCAATTAATTAAAGAGCACAAAGAAAGAACTAATATTCGCAAAAGCTAAGATGCTAATAAAGTTTCTGCTATGATGTTTACTCAGAAAAGAGATAATTTAATTACGGGGGATAAAACGTAAGACATGAATATATAAAACTGAAATAAATCATAGAATGCGAGGATAGGATAATAAGAGTTCTATTTAAAATTAATCTTCTAATATAATAAGGAATTGTTTTAACATTGTTTTAATTACAAGATTCTGTTAAAAAGAGTTTTTAAATTTCTGCTTGTCAGTTAATGTGAATATTGCAAAATATTGAAAAATAAGTAAAATTACTTCAAACCCAAACGATTTGCTACTAACTGACAAGCGGAATTTTAAAATGCTATCGCAAAATAAATATGTACATATTATGCATTTTCAATAATTATAAATATATAATATAAATATAATTACTATAAATAGCAAATTACATTTAATTATAATTTCAATGTAACTATGAATTAATAAATCAATTAATTTGAAATTTATGAAATACATAATTGATTTGAATGCGCTCTCCAGTTTAACTAATACAATAGCATGTGTAATGTGATAACGCGATTATTATTCCATTTTCATCATAATTTTATTTTTATATCTATACATATATCACACACATAAATTTTACTTTGCAAAATTCCATTTCGGTCGAAAACGAATTTTAATCGATTGAGTATCATTCGCTATCATTCAAATGCTATCTGGAAATTCCGCTGTAGCAGTTAGCGAATTTGATGTACATATCTCGACAGTCGCATTTACATACCGATACTTAAAATATTCCATAAATAATTCATCGAGATGAATTTTATTTGAATGTTAGCACGAGTGAATTTTTCTAACAGGTGACCGTAATCAATTAAAAACTCATAGTTTAATATTTCAAGCGACATTTAAACAGGAACTTCTAAAAGAAAGGAAACATAATGGCCAACCAGTTTGATCAGTGCGACATCCATATGTTTCGCGAAACGACCACGAAATCCTTCTCCGCGTAGGAAGGAAACGCATTGCAACGCTTGGATGCGTCTCACAGCGGTGGCGCGATGACATCAGTGATAAACGACGAGATCAGGATGACATGTAACACGAGGTGCAGCGGTCGAGAGACAGCGAACGAAATTAAAGAGCGATAGATGGATACGCGGGACGATATGTGAAAGGCAAGGATTGCGTTGAAGAAGCTCGAACAAACCAAAGGAGGAACCGGAAAAATCGAGGATATCTCTGCTTAACGAAGTGAACAAAATCGAATGAAATTCTAAAGAATGAGAATCAAATGTATTTTTCACATATCTATCCTTTATTGTTGTTGAATTGCATTCATATTTCAAAGTTTCCCTTTTGATCAACTGTATTTTAATAAAAATACCGCTACTTGATTTTGAGTTTTAATTGTGAAATGAGATATGACTGAATATTATGCGATTGCATACAAAATTTTTAATTATTATGTTGCTAAACTCACAATATTTTGCTATAAATATGAAAGAAATATTTTTTTATTTGAATAGCTTACTTTGGGGGTAAAATGGTTTACGTAATAGAGCGAACTTCAATGAAGTTTCCATTGTGTTTCTAATAACGGGTTCCACTTCCATGTTGTGTTAGTAAAATAACATTTCTTCCGAATAAAATTTATTTCTTAATTTGATTTACAAGAACGATACATTTTCTTAAACTTCTTGTATTCGCATGATGTACTTGCGAAGCCTCAAAATCAGAGCGCAAGTTAACTCGTGTTTTTTATATCGGTAACTGCGAGAGAAGAAAAGAATGAGCAAAGAAAAAGAGAGAGAAAGGAAAAAGGGAGAGACGCAATGATGCGAGGAGGTGCGGAAGACGGGACTAAAGAGATGAAAGGAAACACCCAACCTGATAGGCAAGTGAGAAAGATACAGCGAACGCGGCCACAAACACTGTGATATGCCATTGGCGGAAGAAGGATGAAGATATCGGTATGTAAGCGCGGTAAGGATGAAGCAGTGCAAAATGTGATGATGAGAGAGAAAGCAGGAAGAGAATCAGGTCGGAGGAAGACGCGCAACTCCGGGATACAACCATGAAAAAGACAGAGCTGTGGAACAGGCAGCTGAGGAGAGACAGAAGAGCGCAATGAGATGAAATAAACGAGGAGAGACGACCAAGTAGGACTGAGCGAGAAATCGCGAGCGGTACCGAGAGGCAGTAGAGAGAGAAAAGGACTTTCCCGAGGTATAGAGACCTACATATTCCATGGGGCCAATGAGACGGCGCAATGTGGCGGCATGGACGCTCCATCCTTTTCTGGTCTTGTTGGTCTGGTCTCCGTCCCGACCACGGCGCCGTCGCTTTGGAATGGTGGGACGAGCGGGGATCAGAAGGTGGCTCGCTGGTGTAGAACGCTGCGAGAACTCAGTTGCTCACGAGCATCCGTCGACTGACGAACATGGTCTCTTATACATCGAACAGCGTGAGTGCCGTGCTTGCGATGTGCCGTTACACTCTCTTCTTCGTAGTAACAATTGTGGCTCTCAGCAAAGCCGACAATGCTGAAAGCGGTCTAAAGATGGAGAAGATGTATATGCCCGAAGTATGCGACGTTAGGTCAAAGAAGGGCGACCAGCTGACCATGCACTACACCGGGACGCTCCAGGACGGCAGCAAGTTCGACTCAAGGTCAGTGACAGCACGCGAAAGATCGAACTAGAGAATGCAAATTGACTGAATACTGAAACTAAATAAATGGATGATTGTGTGTAAAAGATGTGCGAGGTCAAGCGATTACGTTTACTTATTAACAAAATTGCGCTGATAGCTACAACAATCAGGACCATGAACGTCTATATAATAACCGAGAACGCAATAATAATGACGTCATGCGTTAATGGCAAGCACTTAATATCTTTGACAGATATGATAAATTTGTTTGATGCTGATAGAGTGTTCTACATAATATTTTAAACATTGACATTTTGCCTTTGGTAAATTATTCGTAGTTAGTTTCTAAATGAAATAAATTTTTTAAATCTAGATGAAATAAAGCTTATGGCGAGAATAGCTAAAGTAGATTATAAGTAAATTAAATGAAAGATGAAAAGGAGATGTTATCAGCGGTACTATGAAAAAATACAGATTAATTCTAGTCATGAAAGAGTTACGATAAGTTTAGTTATAATGTAACAATAAATTCAGAAATTACAGTTAGTATTTTAATTGTTAATCTAGTGCTTAATTGACAAAGATATTTATAATATTAATTCCGAGAAAAATTACGGAACTGTCGAATTAAATTATTAGCAGCAATTATGAAATTATCAGCAATTATGAAGAAAATTGCATTTTTGTTACATAAAAATTAGAAGAAATTAGATGTTATGATGAAATTAGAAATTATAAAAATTAGCAAAGAAATTAGATGGAATGCATAACAAAAAAATGCTATAAGTAGATATATATATATATATATATA